ATTATTTTCAAATTTTCACAAAAAGGGGGTTTGTTTAAGCGTCGAACAAAGCATTTCTTCCTGCTATAAGCCTGTATAATTGAATTTCCTGTCGGTGGTAGTATAAATTCCCCGCGCTTGGGTGGGATTTCATCTAGCAAATTAAAAAAAATAATCAAAAAATCAGTATCTAACATTCAAATACTAATTTTAAAATGTGCAGGATATAAGACAAAGAAATCCCAGGAAATAAGATATAGAAACTCCAAAGAAGGACTTCAAAGGCAGGATTGACTCTGTCTCCTTTGAAAGGTATATAAAAAAAACATAGAGAAATAAATTATAGAAGCTATTGTTTTATTGATAAAGAGATTCATTGATAACGAGATAAATAAATTAAGCATCATTTTTCATCAATATTTTAATTTCAGTTAACTCATCATTTTCAATTTATAAATTCAGAATTTTCATAAATATAGAGGGTATTATTCCTAAAACTATTTCTTTAATTTCTTAAAGGTACTTTTGTTCAGGATTATTTGTTATAGACATTTAGTTTCATTAATTTTATTAACTATTAGATTTTCTTGAATGGATTTATCTACAAGTGTTCACTTATTTATCTCATCTGTGTATTTGTTGTTTGGTTTTTTTAAAATTACTGCATGTTTGTTATTTCTACATTTCATTTAAATTATAATTTTATGTTCATATAGCAATCTTATCGAGGCATGTCACCGAAGCCATCTTAGGACTAAAGACATATCTTAAAAGATATTTTAGTCCTAAGAGAGGTCATTGATTATGTCTCCTAACTTAAGACATGTCGTAAGATTTCTCCTAAAGTTAAAACATCCTCAGAGGTGTCTTAACTTTGTATATGATCAAATATGGCTGCCGCCTATGTGTGTATCCAAATGAGAGAACGCGTCTTCAGGAACTACAACAATCCTCTGGACTACTTAGATGATGAAAGCATTGTGAGTTAATATAGACTAACTCGTCCAATAATACACAATCTATGTGCTATGTTTGAAAACGACCTTAACCGGGCAACAATGAGGTCACGTTCACTTCCAGTATCCCTTCAAATAATGGTAGCTCTACGTTTTTACGCCAGTTATAGTTTGCAAGAGGTTGTAGCAGAAATTCACAATGTTTCTCGGCAAATTACAGGGAATGTAATCGAAGATGCTAGAAATTCTTTGATAGAAATTTCTGTCACCGGGTTAACAGGTGCGTGAAAGTCAGTCAATATGTCGGGTCTCAATAAGGTTAGTGGTTAGAGCGCTGGCACGGTACGCCAGAGGCCCTGTGTTCGGGTCCCGGTTGAGACTTGAATTTTCACCACCTGTGACATTTCCAAATATTACATTAAAATGCCAGTTGATGGAGTAGAGTTGAACAAAATAAAGAAAGCAGAAGAAGAGTCAAGAAGAAAACACACAATTCACTACTATCTGCCTCTTGATGAATGTAAGGTGGAGGTGTGCAAAAAGACATTTTAGGAACACTAGATATTGGTGAAAAAACTGTAACCTACACATTAAAGAAGAAAAAGATCCCCTTCACTTTCACAGACCATAGGGGGAAACATGTTCCAAAAAAATAAAATTTCAGAAGAAGACAAACAGCTAATCAGGGAACATATTCGTTCATTTTCAAAAACAGAATCGCACTATTGTAGGAAAATCAATTCAGCGAGAATATTTGGAGAGCTCTCTCTCCATTAGAAAAATGTATAATCTGTACGTCGAAAAATGTAAAGACGATCACAAGGAGGCACAAAAATTCTGGTTTTATGATAAAATTTTTGCGACTGAATTCAACTTAGGGTTTCACAAACCCAAAAAGGATGTCTGTTCATTTTGTGATGCCAAGTGTCCATGATACACATACGACTGACGACTTTCCATGCGGGGTCAAAATTCCAGAGACGTGGTGAAAAAAAAACACAGTTGATGATTGTTACGACAATTGAACTACCAAAACAAACAATGTATTTTCGGTTTTGCTGAAACATGTACAAGTTCCAGGTTTTTTTTATTTAACACAAAACCATGTATCTATGTAAACTTTTTCTCAGTGTCAACTACTTTCAATACCAATTCTAATACTACATTTCCGGTACATCACTAAAAGTGGGGGGCCAACCAGGCTTTCTATTAACATTTCCTATAGTGTGAGTAAGGTTGGAAAAAAAAGTACTGCCCCCCCCCCCCGGTTGCTACGCCCCTGTTATGGTGGTATGTTGTCTAAACTGTTTGCCTGTTCGCTTGTGAGGTTCCTAGGGAAATCATGATTTTGAGAAATATTAAGCATGCAGCCAACAAATACATGCATGTATTTGAGGATACATGTAATTCAGTTTACGAAAAGATTTGGAAAAAATGAAATTCAGCTAGGCCACATTTGTTTGCCCTTTTCCGACCAAATTTCTAAAGAAGGCGAGAATCATGATCAGATCCTGTTAAATGTCAAAGTGAATAGACTACTAGTATTTTATTTACTTCGAAGTTTTCCTTCTTTATTATTTACTTTTTTAAATTTTTAATTATTTACTTTTTTAAATTTTTAAACATTATTAAAGCAAGTGTTTTAATTTAAAAAACAAACCTCTCTCCATCATTTTTTATCTTAAATTGGAAAGGAGGAAGCATTTTTAAGTAGATGGCTTTAGATATTTTGAAATATATATTTAAGGGATCTTCAATGATTTTTAGTTGGATTTAATTTTTATTCAACAAATTGTGTGTTTTTATCCCTGAGGTTTTGAAAAATCAATTGTGACGTCACAACTTTGGGTACTAAAAAATGACAATGAGTCATGTTCACGGGATAAACGGGTTGAAATTTGATAAATCTAATCATTAATATTGAATGTAAATGAAACAAAATGAAAATAAACTTATTTCAGAAAAGAACATCCTGTAGAAGCAAACGCTCTATTTATAAATTTAATAAATTTAATAAACAAGCTATCGTTCAACAAGCAATAATGATCACTTGTTGTCAATAGATAAATAAATATCTATTGAAAGGTTTTACAACACGAAAATCATGTAATCGATGAGTATTATATCGTTATGATTACTTTAAATGTCTTGTATTTGGCTTTTATTCTTTTTAACTGGAATAAACTGCCCAAATTCCAGTAAAGCGTTAATTGTCTTCCACATGCATATATACGTACATGTATACTTAAATTTAAGAAAAATGAGAAAGGTGCTTAATCAAATCTACATTTAATTATTCAAAAATCAATTATTACTAATTATCTTACAATGTAAATATTATATACATGTACATTGTACATGTATAACGTTCAGTTTTATTCATTGGATATCATCTGACTTACCTCACTTGATTCTACTGTGAGCTGTGCTTCTTACAAGTTCTGCGACGAACAAATTAAACGCAAAAAACTAACCCAATAAATATATGTTACCAGTGAAGAATAAGATAACAAAGTTCTTGAATGTTACATTCATGCACAGTTATAATGACAGATACTAGGATGGTAACGACAAAAAGATAATTATTGATAAAAGGTGGTTAAAGATTTCCTTTTTAATTATAAAGGTTGGATTGGATTGCAAGACAAAATTAAACATGGACATACAAGCTATCGAATACACCAAATATGGCTTCCGCTCTGTAAGTAAATCACACATGGTCATTGGATTTTGCTACCTCCATATGCAAAATTAGGTCACGTATTAATATTTTTCATTAATACACAACAAGCCACTTTTCCTTAGTATTTAGAATAAAATTAAAATTTGTGAAAGTAAAAGGATGTGTCAATCAAACTCATTTAAAGTTTCAATAACTTTTAGATGAAATATTATTTTATAATTATGTGAAATGCTATTACAATACATAAGTCGTGATATAATACAGAAAAATATTAACTTCAAATATGTGTCTATGCACCTTTAAAGCCCGCTGATGTAACCATGATGTTCTGTCTTCCCACGTCAATGTTGATTTAACGGAAAACAAACACAAACCGAGTGGTGAGTGAGCGGTCAATTCAGTTACAAGAAAAATTGTAAATCCATCCAACGTCTCTGATTGAGTAACAATATATAATTGTGCGGGGAAACTTCTCTTTCATCTAACAAATAGTGTCCACAATCCATACCCTTGAAGATTCAATATTCTTGCCCTCATTTTTCAAATATATTTCATGGTTTTTGGGGGGAGGTTTGGGGAAACTGTGATGTACTTGTATCCCTTTAATCTCAGAATTTCTGTAACCCCTTCCTTAATTGTATTCGTACAAGTAGCACTTAATGCCAGTAAGATGCGTCTGGGAAATATTACCGTATTTATCCAACAACAACTTTCCGAAGAAGTTATCTGCATCTAGACCATTCATCACAGGTATACCGAAATCAGAATCTCCAGTATTGCAGCTATCTTGTAGAAATTACTGATCTTGATGAGATTTGGATTGGCTAGGATATATTCTTAAGTACATGTGTGTTAATATACATGTAAAAGAGTACTACTAGTATTTAATCAGCAAATAAAATTATTAAAAATCCAAAGGTTTGACAAAACTAACTGCAGGCCTATGTGTTAAATAAGAAAAAGGAAATGTCAAATAAATAATGACTTTTAGATGTCAACACAAGGAACAGCTGGTGGTGCTCTTTTAATTTTGTTAGATGATAGATACTGAGTGAAACAGAAAGGACTTACGTCACAGGACAAAATAGGCTTAGGCCACATTTGGCCCCCGATTTGGCTGTCTTTTAGAATGATACAACAGTTTCGCAATAAACACCTGTTGTCGGCCCTGACCCAAAATTACTTTTGGTTCTTAGTAATGGGTTACATAGAGGTCACAGAGAGGTCATAAATCATGTCATTTTTTTGAATTTTCTCAGTAGTACTCGTAAATGAAACTGAAAAAATATATATCCTTTGTATACATTATACTAAAACCATGTCTGAATATATATTTAAATTTATTATTATTTATTTATTTTATAATAAAACATATTTTTCCCCTTTCCCCTCGTAACTTCAAACAAACAAATAGAATCAAACTCAACGTTATTGGCTTCATAAAGAAAATTACAATTTATAAAATCTTTTCTGCACAATGAGATTGACGCAGTTTTTCGTAGGCTTCATGACCACCAATGTCTTTAAGCTCAGCATATGTTGAATTGAACCTGTTTTAAATATACATATACAATGCTTCAATAAGAAAAGTTAATAAAGATGTTTAAAATTTGTTTTTAACCATTAAAGTGTACATGTTTATATTTAAAATTTAAATTTTTTATGTACATACTTATCTTCGCTGCCAGGATTTACTAGAAAAGAAAGGGTTATATTCATAAAGGTAACCAGTCTATAGTAATATTATTAAATATATAGTAAACAAGTTCGTTAGATTATTGACTGTATTAAACAGTAGCTGAAAATAATAGCTACTGTTTCGGTTGCTTTATATCATTAAGTACATGTAGTACACTCATTTCAAGACTAAATATTGAGGGCAAGAAATTAAATTCTGCGCAAAATAAGAATTCCCTGAAGCATAATGCTAGCTTGTTTCACATTCAAATTTGATAGGGAAACATGTTTTAAAAATATCCCTATTAATGTGATTTTCAAAAATTAATAAAGACTATGGAATCACTTTCAGTTAACTCGAAGATTTTTCTCAGTTTATTCCCTTGTAAAACTCTTCATGGCCAATACTTTTAGTAGGTCAACTACTGTGAAATCAGTAATTTTCATGGGTATTTAATTTACGTTGTTTTCGAGGCATAAAGAGAGCAATGAATTTATGACCACCACGAAATGTAAAATTCCATATGCATCGCTACTAAACATTCTTCAACCACGAAATCTAATACCCACAAACCAGTATTTTTTCCTCAAACCTCGAAAATTTGCCCCCACGAAAATATGTGATTTTACAGTAAACTTGTGAGGATGATTGCTTATTACTTGTAAGATGATTTAGCATGCTCTTGTCCTCAGGAAAACGATTCTTAAAGATATTTTCCCTTTTTAGCTCACCTGAGCCAAAGGCTCAAGTGAGCTTTTCTGATCAAAATTTGTCCGTTGTCCGTCGTTGTCGTAAACTTTTCACATTTTCATCTTCTTCTCAAGAACCACTGAGCCAATTTCAACCAAACTTGCTACAAAGTATCTTTTGGTGAAGGGGATTCAGGTTTGTTCAAATGAAGGGCCATGCCCTTTTCCAAGGGGAGATAATTATGAATTAGAGAAACATTAATGGCATTTTTAAAAAAATCTTCTCAAGAACCACTGGGCCAGAAAAGATGAAACTCATGTGGAATCATCCTCAGGTAGTGTAGATTCAAGTTTGTTCAAATCATGACCCCCGGGGGCAGGATGGGGCCAAAATGGCCGATCAAAGTTCTACATAGGTATATATAGGAAAAATCTTTAAAAATCTTCTCCTCAAGAACCACTGGGTCAGGAAAGATGAAACTCATGTGGAATCATCCTCAGGTAGTGTAAATTCAAGTTTGTTCAAATCATGACCCCTGAGGGTAGGGTGGGGCCAAAATGGCCGATCAAAGTTTTACATAGGAAGATATAGGAAATATCTTGAAAAATCTTCTTCTCAAGAACCACTGGGCCAGGAAAGATGAAACTCATGTGGAATCATCCTCAGGTAGTGTAGATTCAAGTTTGTTCAAATCATGACCCCCCGGGGGTAGGGTGGGGCCAAAATGGCTGATCAAATTTTTACATAGGAATATATAGGAAAAATCTTTAAAAATCTTCTTCTCAAGAACCACTGGGCCAGGAAAGATGAAACTCATGTGGAATCATCCTCAGGTAGTGTAGATTCAAGTTTGTTCAAATCATGACCCCCGGGGGTAGGGTGGGGCGCAATGGCCGATAAAAGTGTTAAATAGGAATATATAGGGAAAACTTTTAAAATCTTCTTTTCAAGTACTTCAAAGCCATGCTTAGTAATATTTATAGGGAATCATCCTCAGGTATTGTAGAGTCTAGTTTGTTCAAAGCATACCCCCTGGGGGGTTAAAATTCAAGCCCCCTCCCCACCTCCCCGCCCTCAGTTAACTTTCAGTTCTGATCTGATATGTGCCTTTTTTCTAGCCAATTTCTCAGGTGAGCGATGTGGCCCCTGGGCCTCTTGTTTGGTTGCACAATTTCGGGAAGGCATATTATCAAATTCTCATAGTTTTTGTTTCCTTTCAGTTTTACTGATCTTGAAAAGATAAATTAACAAGATTCCGAAAATTTCATACAATTTCAGAACTTCTATGCTACAGTTAGCACGTTACTCGTCAGAATGACGTCAGACACACTTCATTTAGGAAAAATTAGATAAGCAATTGCTCAGGTAGGCTTCAAAGATAGACTTACCTGTGTAATGGTCGTCTATGATTTGATTCTTCTGACTAACGCTTTGTCTAAAAGAGAGAAAGGTTTTACTGTGAACTGGTCATTCTTAGATATAGTGATTAAATGATAAATAGACTTTGAGTGAACAATTTAGTGTTCATATAAACAAAAGAAACTTACTCTTTCTTAGTATTTGTTGCTACAAAAAGGATAAGTATACTTCATCGTTAATATAGTACACAATGCGTAAATATATACAGTTGATGCCTAATCCTTTTAATTTGAAGTTTATAAAATAAGAAATTTTCTTAAAATATGCTTTAAAATGTTTATCAATATACCATGTACATGTTGCACATGTATTTTTTTTCAGATATATTTTTGATATAGGGAAATAAGTACATGTATAAACATATGTACAAACATACAAATTGATTACGGTTATATCTTTTTGTATTTCTAGAATTTCTACATTTTACTTACGTTGATTCCTTTTCCAAAGAACAACGTTTATGACACTTCCAATGACAACAATGCTAATTGCGGCAACTAGACTTGATAGGGTCAAGGTAAAGTCACAGGCATCAGGGATGGTAAAAGTGTCTTTTTGTGCTGAATTTGACGTAAATATTGCAAGTAAAATGATCTTGTTGTTTTATTAATACTAATTATCAGTATATAACATTAAAATTCACCAATATCTTATAATGCCAAAAGACAGCATTAACTTTCTTCACTATCCTTTCCTATGCTTCCTAAACTATAATATATAAAAAAGAATTTGTCTCATATTCATTTCACTATTTTATTAATGTAAATGATAGTTTATATAATATTCACATTTATGAAGTACCTTACCTTTCAATATAAGAGGGGTGATCAAAAAATTCGCGAACCAATTGAATAACTTCCATAAAAGAAATGATAGTACAGGGTTTCAATGTTTAAATTTTTTAAAAATAGTCATCCGATTTTTAGGCGCATCTTCAACCGTTCTGCTCATGCGCGAATCACGTGTTGGAGGCGGTCACGTGACATGCTCCGTAGCGTTCTGTCACAGACTCTAAAAGATTTTCCCGACTCTTTTCTCTTTCTATGCAAGTCATTTAGTGTTTTTGTCAGAAATGGCCAAACCTCGGCAAAAGTATCGGTGGATAAGGATGTCTTTTTCCAGAATGAGTACGGTGACCATCATAACCCGAGTCATTTGTCTAGGGAGCGTCGTTTATTCAATGTGGATAACGTATTAGTGCCTTCTTTTAACCATATATGCTATGTTTAAAGTTTGAAATAAACGCTATTGTAGCGATTGTGGCTATGCCTACTATCTTGGAACCGGAGGGGATATAGGAAAATAGACTCTTCCAATAGGCGGATCACCCCTATAGTGGGTAGAATAAGCCATGTTTATATAAATAAGACGATGGCAGCTGCTAGGCTATTCTGACGGATTCAATTGTGAACACACGGAAGAAAAGGCAAGACGAGAGGTTAACTTTAATCTTTTACTTGACATTTAACTTTAAAGCCATTCGTTGCTCGACAATATAATTAAAATTAGATGTTAGACGTTAACACTTACATCTAACAACTTTCCATAAAGGGTCACGTTAGAGGTCAAATTCGCAATAACTCTAGACTTACAAATTCTTTCCACAAACATACGATCATTTTACAAGCAACGATTTGATTGGTTGATAGAATTTGACCTCTGAGGTGACCCTTTATGTGATGTTGTTAGATGTCAGTGTAATTTTAATTATATTTTTTGCTCTAGTAAGACTTGATCAACCATTTTTGACGTCATTTTCACATATTGGCGTCAAAAACATGACGCAAAAACATTAAATTATATATGTTATTTAAAGAATATGTGTATGACTTCACGTGTGTAAATTTTATTCTGATCTGAATTTTAGTTTTGTAAATAGAGATAGTTCGCGAACTTTTTGATCATCCTTCGTATAAAAATATCCTAGAAGTGAAAGAAATTAAAATCGGGTTTTAAAGTGTATATTTTTAGAATAAAAAAGACAAAAACATTAAAAAGGATCTAATTAAATGCGTTTAATGGCCCAATATTAAGAAAACGACAAATTTTACGACATGTTACGACTTCCGTTGAAAATAAAATGACATCGTTGCTATTTATGATCATAAACATTGTTGGTTTACGCTGATGCATTAATCAAAGGAAACGTCGAAATAATTTTTTTTTTAAAAAGCCACAAGGAGTTGTCAAAATGGAAAATCGCCAGGAGAGACAGTAGCGTTTGCAGAACAAAAACGAATGCAAATAAGAGATTAATTTATAGATGGTTTCAGCTATATTTGGCGGGTTATGGGAGATTGAATTACCAAAGAAGGACAGAAAGACCAAAACTTTTACTTTTATCCTATGGTACTGTGCAAAGAATTTTGAATACTAAATTATGAAAAATGTCACTGTGGGTGCCAAGATTTCTTAAAGAAAGTGAGATATGTGAATATGTTCGTCAGTCTGAAATATTTTTCTAATGAAACGAAGGGGAAGTCTTTCATGTGACGTTATTTAGATGTTGCGACTACCCTTACCGCACGTTGTATAAATCATATTGATGATTTTTTTTCAGATGTGATTTGAAATAAGTATAGCTTCGATAGTGCATTATTTTGTTGTTTCACGTCGACAAGTTGAAATTTATCGAAGTTGTGACATTAATTTTGGGTCCACCCTCGTATTCAGTATATTAAAGAGCATTATTATAATCATGAAAAATTTACAGCTAGGTAAATTTTGAAGATGTTTTTCTTGCTTTCTTCCGACTTGTGATTAAATGGAGTTATGTAGATACGTCAGTGTGTTTTTTTTTATTAGAAAGAAACTGTGAATCTTAATTCAAATTAATGAACAACTGGATAAAAAAAAATCTGTATAAATAATACAAAAATATGTTTGCGATAGTTCATCTTAAGGTTCAATGATACTCTGATAAGAGAGATAACTTTTAAGGCTCTAAATGTCTATTATTCCTTTAAGATATGTAAAGTCAGCTACTAGTAACTGGCTACTAGTAGCTGGCTACGACAAGTGGGTAAAGATGGCTACTAGTAGCTGGCTACGAAAAGTAAGTAAAGTTAGCTACTAGTGACTGCTACTAGTAGCTGGCTACGACAAGTAAGTGAAGTTGGCTACTAGTAACTGGCTACTAGTAGCTGGATACGACAAGTAAGTAAAGTTGGCTACTAGTAACTGGCTACTAGTAAATGACTTGAATCTTCTAGTACCTTTTGTGTACAATTATGAAACTTGGGATACAAATATTGATATTCTTGAAGTAGCTGGATTTTTACACCTCTGATATCCACTGATATTGTTGATAAAAACAATATCTCAGCTTTTCCACATGATCTGGCACTGAAGTTACCAAGATATCTGTAGTAACAAACTCAGCTACTGGTACCTTTTGTGTAAATTTATGCTATTTTAGGAGACAAATGTTGATATTCTTTAAGAGGCTGGAATTTTACATCACTGATATCAACTGATTTTGCAGATAAAAACAATATCTTAGATTTTCCACATAATCTGGCACTAAAGTTACCAAGATATCGTTAGTAATAAACTCAGATACTAGTACCTTTTTGTTAAAAATTATGCTATTTTGGGAGACAAATGTTGACATTCTTGAAGTAGCTGGATTTTTACACCGCTGATATCAACTGATATTGTTGATATAAACAATCTCCGAGCTTTTTCACATGATGTGGTGCTGATGTCACCAAGATATCGTTAGTAACAAACTCAGCTCCTGGTACCTTTTGTTTAAAATTGTGCAATTTTTTGAGACAAATGTTGATATTATTGAAGGAGCTGGATTTTTACATCACTAATATCAACTGATATTGCTGATAAAAACAATTTCGTAATCATTCCAGATGATCTGGCACTAAAGTTTCCAAGATATCGTTAGTAATAAACTCAGCTACTAGTACCTTTTGTTTAAAATTATTCTAGTTTGGGATACAAATGTTGATATTCTTGAAGTAGCTGGATTTTTACACCGCTGATATGCACTGATATTACTGAAAAAAAACAATATCTGAGCTTTTCCACATGATGATCAGGCACTAAAATTCCCAAGATATCGTTAGTAATAAAGTCAGCTACTGGTACCATTTGTTTAAGATTATACTATTTTGGAGAAAAGTCTTGATATTTTTGAAGTAGCCGGATATTTACACCGCTGACCTCCAATGTTATTGTTGATAAAAACTAAATCTGAGCTTTTCCACATGATCTGGCACTAAAGTTACCAAGATATCGTTAGTAATAAACTCAGCTACTACTACCTTGCGTTTAAAATTATGTAATTTTGGGATACAAATGTTGATTTTATTGAAGTAGCTGGAATTTTACACCCCGAATATCCACTGATATTGTTGATTAAAACAATCTCTATGTTTTTCCATATGATCTGGCACTGAAGATACCGAGATATCCGTAGTTATAAACTCAGCTACTGGTACCTTTTGTTTAAAATTATGCTCTTTTGGGAGACAAATCTTGATATTATTGAAGTAGCTGGATTTTTACATCACTGATATCAACTGATATTGCTGATAAAAACAATTTCTTTAGTCATTCCAGATGATCAGACGCTAAAGTTACCAAGATATCATTAGTAATAAACTCAGCTACCAGTACCGTTTGTTTAAAATTATATAATTTTAGGATACAAATGTTGATTTTATTGAAGTAGATGGATTTTTACACCGCTGATATCCAATGTTATTGTTGATAAAAACAATATCTGAGCTTTTACACATGATCTGGCCCTAAAGTTACCAAGATATCGTTAGTAATAAACTCAGCTACTGGTACCTTTTGTTTAAAATTATGCTATTTTGGGAGACAAATGTTGATATTATTGAAGTAGCTGGATTTGTACATTACTGATATCAACTGATATTGCTGATAGAAACAATCTCTGAGCATTTCCACATGGTCTGGCACTGAAGTTACCAAGATATCTGTAGTAATAAACTCAGGTACTGGTACCCCCTTTTGTTTTAAATTATGCTATTTTAGGAGACAAATGTTGACATTCTTGAAGTAACTGGATTTTTACACCGCTGATATTAACTGATATTGTTGAAATAAACAATCTCTGAGCATTTTCACATGATATGGTGCTGATGTCACCAAGATATCGTTAGTAATAAACTCAGCTACTAGTACCGTTTGTTTAAAATTGTGAAATTTTGGGAGACAAATGTTGATATTATTGAAGTAGCTGGATTTTTACATCACTGATATCAACTGATATTGCTGATAGAAACAATCTCTTAGCTTTTCCACGTGATCTTGCACTAAAGATACCAAGATATCGTTAGTAATAAACTTAGCTACTGATACCTTTTGTTTAAAATTATACTATTTTGGGAGACAAATCTTGATATTTTTGAAGTAGCTGGATTTTTACACCGCTGATATCCAATGTTATTGTTGATAAAAACTATATCTGAGCTTTTCCACATGATATGGCACTTAAGTTACCAAGATATCAGCGAGATTAGTTCTAGTCAGGAGAGAATGGGAAATGCAGATAAACATTTTAATGATATCAAGCCTCTGTCCGATGATAAAGAAAAGGGTGATTTCGAATCCAGCTTAGATACCAGTGACGATGATCTAGACTGTTCACCTAGACTTGCTCAAGTCTCTATGTTTTAGTGCTCTCTTTCATACTTTTTGATAATGTCAAACATAGAGACTTGTAAACCCTGAAATTTCACCGACCAGAATATGTTCGGTAACGGGATTATATTACAGCACTGCAGTGTGCTGCTGGAAAATCGCTGATAAGTTGACAGGTGATGAATGGTTATGGGGAATTTCCTAAATGTTACAAAGTTGTACAAATTTTACACACATTTTTGTAAATCTTCTCCAAGTAAAATGAACACAGAAAAAATATCTCAAGCAATATCTGATGGATTAAAACAATTGTCTATAAGTGAATTAAAACTAAACCAGAAAAAAGTTATAGCATATTTGAATAAAAAGAATGTTTTCTTCTGTTCACCTATTGGAAGT